TACTTAGGTGCGGCACGGGTTCCAAAAGGGTAGGCTAGCGGGGGTCGATGCCGTGAGAGCCGCATCGCCGCATTCTTCTGGACATTGCGCTGGAGCCTAAGGGTTTTTTTCGTGAGTAATTTTGGTTATGTACGACCGGGGTTTGGATAGTCGGTAACGATGGGTTGCTAAGTTTTCGAGGTTGTGTGAAGTGGTTGTCAGATGCCTAGGTGGGTCTTGGCATAATCACATGTTGCCTTGCTTCCTATAGTGGTTAGCTTCTGAGATTATTCCAAGGTTAGGTAGCTTATGCATACATCCGGCATCGATTGCAATGGCTGTCTTTGTGCTGAGTAATGTCAGCGAGGAAGAATTCGGCAGCTCTATTGTGGTGATTGGAACCAACACTTCCTTCTAGCTTTCCTTAATGACACCTTCTTTTCAAGTTTGAAGAAATAGTGATGGAGCATAGCGTGGTATGAAGCCGAATATCTGAGGTTTGCACCATTTATCACTTTAGTCACACTGCAGAACTGAATGTGGAAGATGTTTGTTCCTGTCAATTGCAACTGCCTAAGACGTTCCAATAATCGCTTCTTTTGACAGTAGTTCTTAGACCTGAGTGCATACCTCGCAATGCCATTCATTATGGTAATTCACAGCCCCGCAGTCCTTACAGATCCAGCCTTGATTTGACATGCTGTGGATCTTTGCTTCGGACTTTTGTTGACACAAGTGTAGTTCGTTGTTGAGTTCAATGCGGACTCGTTGCTGGAGGTAGGCTTGATGTGACAGTGGGGAAATGTATGTGTGCGTTTTGATTTACTATAACACAGTCAGCATTCGGAGTAATGGCAAGAGACTGCCTAGGTAGGGGTTAACTACGTAGCGTTTTGTGGAGTCGTTGTTGATGCGTCAGCAGCAGACGTCCTCGCGGGGCTTATATATCAAAACGTCTCCAGCATCGTTTCCTAGTCCTTCCCTGAAGAGCACATTCCAACCCGCGTAACTCGAATTCACGCTACGATCCTAATTTGTGACTTGGATGATCGGACATGGACTACATCCTCCCATGAATCACGTACCAGTGGTTCAAACCCTTACTCTGACTTCTTGAATCCCTCATACTATCGTAGGTGATAAATAGATCCAATATGCATGGTTCAGAATCGGTATCGCTATAATTCCCGTCATCTCTCTAACATACACCACCTGGCTCGTCAGAATAGCCTAGATTGTAATGTCCACAGACACGCGTCTAGCAGCTCTCGAGAGTCTCGTCCGTGAGAACCAAGAAAAGATAGAGGAACTAAACCACACGAACTGGCTACTCAGTAACCAAAACATCAAGATGCAAGAAGAACTCGCCAAGTTGGAAGAAAAGTTACGCAACGAGTATCCCGACTTCGATACCAGGCGTATCAACCATTCAAGCTTTCAAGCCAATCCATCGCCACCTCTCCATGATCCATCCGTCGCTAGAGATGTCTCTCGCGCTCGCCCACAGCTACTTCAGCGCCCACCACCAGGACCGTTGTGGACACCATTCTACATGACCGCCCGCGACGCTCCACGACTATATCTAGAGTTTGTGATACCAGGATCCAAAGGCGAGACATTGGGGATAGCTGTAAACAACGTAGATCTGGCCTTTATATTACAGCAGACATTGCGACGGAGAGGGTGGGGCGAAGTGACGACGAAGAGAGGTGTCGAGGATTTCCTAGAGCAGCCGATGATGAAGGTAACGTGGACGGGCGGAGAGGGTCAATTCGGGAATTTGACGTAGTCCCGCGAAGAGGTTGGGTTGTAATGTATCTTGGTTTTGAGAAATGGAGTTTATGAAAAAGGAGCATTTGGTATCCTAACGCCGACCCATGCATGTTAGAAACCCGATGTTCAATCGTCTTTGTGCTTTTCTTCAAAAGCGAGCATGAGGCCCATGGCCCGCTCATATGTCCACATTGTAACAGCGCTGGCTGGCGCAGCTTTCAGAAGACTGACCGTCAACCCACGGTACATTCCCCGTCTGCCTTCGTGCTTCCATATATGCGCAATGGTACTGATGACGCCGGTATATGTCGGTATGTTCCGATGAACGTATCGCTCGCGCATCGGCCCTTGGACTTGAAGTCGCTTGCGCGTGGTATCGAGCGGGTAAACGGCGGTTTTGGAGAGAACGCTCGCGATGACACCGGCGACGGCATCTGAGCTTCCGAGTGGCAGTGGTATGGGAGAGGATGCGGTTATGGGCTTCAAGCTTTCGTAGCTAGCGAAGAAGAGGCCCATGTACGGCACAATCTGGCTCACGCCTGCGCCGAGACCGCGAAAGAAGCCCCTAGGTCCTTCATGCTGCGCGATGTGCTTGACAGACGCTATAATGGAGGTATAGACGCTATCTTTGCCTTGCGCAGCAAAGCGCGTGCGAAGAAGATCGAGCGGGTATGTCGCCGTCGTCGCAGCGGCACCGGCGCTTGCTCCGCTGAGGAAATTGGCGACTGAGCTGGGAAGCGTATATGGCGGCGGAATGGTCTCTAGCCAATGCGATATGTACGTGTAGGCAGAGAACTGGGCGCTACCGTACGTCAAGTACATGAGCTCCGCCGGTATGTTGCCCTTCCATAGCCCCGTGACACCCTCTTCGCGAAGAATCTGTTTGAGGGTGCCCAATGTTCCTTTGTAGACGGGTCCTTGGACATTGCGAACGCTGAACGGGTCGGAGAGCGAGTGGATCTGGAGTTGCAGGCGGATCTTTATGACGTCGAGGGGAGCTATCACGAAGCTGTCGCAATGTCAGCCATGTGCGCGAACATGGGAGATTAGACATACCGCGACACCAGGCCTGCCACCGCACCTGCGACGACAACTTGTCGCTGGGAGCCCTATCAGTCATATTAGCCCTGGTTCTGCCAGCATATCGCGTCGGTAAACGGTGAAGATAGACAAGCTCCTACCTCATGCTTCAGCTGTGCGACACCCTCAGACATGCGCCCAGCGCGTCGATTGAGACACGTGCTATGTTCGCGCGCGTAATTAGCTACCCACCGCCGATGCTCGGTAGGACACCTGTAATTGCAAACGTGCCGGGCAAAGGGTAGTAGAGACCTCGGTTTACGGGTTGATTGTTTCCACCACGCTCGCTCCCTGGCGTTGAAAAGCAAGGAACCCCGCCGTGTCCCGTCACTGCCAACAGCTGCGGCCGACCATGTCTTTCACCATCACCACCAGAATACCGCTACGGAGTCTGAGATCGCAAGTCACCACTTCCCGCAGGACTACGCTTGCTGTTCAGAGACGGTGTTTCTTCTTCAACTCGTTCTGGCGATCACCTAAGCCGGCCGAGCATGCTGATTGGAGCCCCGCTACACATGGCCCGTTTCGGCCAACCAAACGCCAGGAACAGCTGCAACAGCAACAGGAGCAAGAGCTGAGACAATCGAAAGAGCAGGAACTTCTCGTTCATGATGAATCCAACATTGGACAGCTTGACGGTAGCCCAGCGAAGAGAATCGCGGTGAACATCGATGGAGAGCCCAAGATCTTCGACGCTGCGTTTCTTCGCGACAGCTGCACGTGTACGAAATGCATGGACCCTGACAGCAAAAACAAGCGCTTCCAGACGTCAGATATACCCGAAGATCTAGAAGGTAGCTGCAAGACAGTAGTGGATGAAGAGAAGGGAGTCTCTATCGAGCTTCAATGGAAGACAGACGTCAAAGGCTTCGGTCCGGAGCACCGCACACGGCACTCTATCGACTGGCTACGCCGCGCATTCAACACAGAGATTGAGCTACGTGGCGGAGTGCGACACGACGACAGAGTGTTCTGGGACAAGAACAGGATCGTAAAAGATAACAAGTGGCTCGACTACGACACCTACATGTCCCAAGACGAAACCCTCTTCGAAGCCCTCACCCATTTGAACCGCTACGGCCTCCTCTTCATCAAAAACGTACCCGAATCTGAGGAATCCGTCGTAGCGCTCGCCTCCCGTATCGGTACTCTCAAAGATACTTTCTACGGCCGAACGTGGGACGTCCGCTCAAAACCCAAAGCCGAAAACATAGCCTACACGCCCGACTACCTCGGTCTCCACATGGACTTGCTATACACATCCAACCCCCCGCATCTGCAACTCTTGCACTCCCTGCGAGCCCGTACCCCAGGTGGCGAATCCTTCTTCTCAGACTCCTTCGCTGCAGCACATCAACTTCGGCGGCAGTCAGAGGGGCACTTCAGAACGCTGTGTACATTTCCCGTAACATACCACTACCACCACCCGACCTACCATTACCACTTCACCCGGCCAGTGATTGAAACTTTCGCCTATCCAAACTACAGCGATCCTGCCAACCTCGCCATCCGTCGCATAAACTGGTCCCCGCCTTTCCAGGGCCCGTTCGAAGCGCGAATTGGCAGCGGCAACTCGACGTCGCTTCGCTCCTTCATTGCTGCTTCGCATGCGTACGAGAAGCTTCTTAGTGCGGAGGAGAATTTGTATGAGTACAGGTTGAATGAGGGGGAGTGTGTCATCTTTGATAATAGGCGGGTGTTGCATGCTAGGAAGGCTTTCGATGCTACAAAGGGTGAGCGATGGCTGAAGGGGGCGTACGTGGATGACGATGTATTCTTTAGTAAGCTTAGGGTGCTGGAAGAGAAGTTTGAGGGGAAATGGGTCGCTGAAGGTGTGGTCAGGCATGCCGTGAAATGAAGGTGGGGGTGTTCAGTAGTCTAGGTTGCGCAGTATGGATATGGCTGTGCTTCGGAACTCGGGTCTCTTCTTGGAATCACTCAATTGTCAGCATGCGTGGAAGCTAATGCCCATGCCCCGTGGGCTACAGAAAACATTTCAGTCCCGACAGCTGTGAAGACGGACTTTGAGTAGCCTTTGGTTACCATCTGACTCCAATGCATAGTCAATATCAAGACGGCGTCATGACGCAAAAAGAAATCTTCTTCGCGGATCCCCGGTAACCTGATCCTGAGCATGATCGATGAGGCTTCCCACCACAATGCTCTAATCAATATTTAGCACGAGTGATTTCCAGGTCAACACCCTCGTCCAGACCGCTCTCTACCCGCTTTCCAATACTCATCACTGCCTGTTCCAATCTCGTCGGATCGAAATCCCCGCAGCCCACATGCAGATGTACAGACCGCACTGCAGGGAAAACTTGCGACAATGAGTCAAGCCTGCACTCATGCAGATCCGCAACGAGGCTCTCAGCTTCTCTTAAATAGAACGTTATGCGAACCGTGCGGATGAGCTGACGTTCCGTTGCATCAAGCCCGAGCATGAGAGTGTAGTATGACTTGAGGAAATGGGGGAAGCAGAATGTGTTTAGCGCAAAGGGGAGGAGCTTTGCTTCGTCGTAGACCTTGCGGCAGACGCGCAGGAGAGCGAGGTCATTTCGATGCGTGTATGTGGCTTTGAAGGAATATACCCAAAGGGCGTACGTGCGTTGACCGAGAGCGTGTTCGTAAATGTGGTTTCTGATTTCTCCGGGTAGGCGCAAAAGTGGGGACTCGGCAGTGTTGCGCATGTATCTGTTGATGTTAGCTTGGCATGGTGAATGGCTCTTACACACTTGCGGTGCAGTGTTTCGGTACTTACATGAGCAAGCATGCGTCGGTCGTGCGTTCCATATCCGTCATTGTTGGCTACTCGTGGTGTCGACGTAGTGTAGCATGGGGAAAGACGTGGGGAGCAAAAGGTAATTCACATAGCCAGGACTACTAAGGGAAGGCCAGGGTCTATTACGCTAGCCTCAAGCAGATCGCTCGCTCACCTACCCCAGGTGCCCAGGTGCCGCCCACGGTGTTTCCCGAGCTAAAATCCAGAAGCCACGCTGAAGTGACGAGCAAGTGTCCGCGTCTTGAGATCGCATCATCTGGACGTGTGCAACGAGATCAGTCTATTTCACTATCCAAACATGCTAACTCAGCAACCCAACTACATCCAACTTCTTCTTCCCATCCCCATCATCGACGGCCATGATTTGCTTTCCTCGGCCCTGGACAGTCATAGCTTCCTAGGTACTATCACCACGGTCTTAGTCGTACGGTCCAAGTAATTCCTGAGTGTTCTCACAAGCGCCCGGAACTCATCACACTGCTGTTTCTTTGATATCAGTGGCTCCTCAACATAAACAGTTCGTAATCCGCGCAGCCCGCGCAGGTAAAGAGAACCACAGATGATTTGAGACTTCCCACTCGAGTACCAAGGCAGAGTGTATTCCCATGCGTTGAGCTGTACGGTCTGAATTTGGTCGAGCTGCGAGGGCGAGAGTCGCTTTTTGAATAACTGAAACTCGAGGAGAGTGTTAAAAGAGAAGACGTTCAGTGCGATATACGGTGACTTGGCAGTCTCATGGTAGGTTTGACTGCAAGCGAGTAGTAGACTGAGCGGATGTCCGTTGACGCGACCGTCGCCCTGGACTCTGTAAACACGGCCGCTTAGTACGTATCTAATTGAGGCACAAGATGTTAGCAAAGGCCGTTTGTATTGTGATGGGCAGGGATCTGCGCACCCGTAAACTTGATTACGTAGCTCAGCTGGAAGACGCAGAAGGGGTGACGAGTCGGCGTTGCGCGAAGTACTGGAAGGGTCGGTCAGCTGGCAGCCAGACAGACAGGACAGTGTTGTGTTACATGTCGGAGCTACGACTTCCAAGTTTCGCCATTATGAGGTTTCGAGTTCCCTTTGTGGTTGCGAGAAGATAGGGGAAATCGAAAAAAGTGCTGTACAATTCGAGGTCGCGTAATACAGACAGTGGGGTTGATGCAATGTGGTCAATGTACTGATTCTGACTGAGGGAGGTGGTGGCACAGACTAACATCCGCTAGCGTTGTTTGAGTGGAGGGGAGAGCCCTGGAGAACGAACCTGGAAGGTGCGGCCAGACAGCGTCGCTTCTTCCAATCGCCAGTGAATCCAAGAAGCGCTTAGATGGTAGTGCATCAAGTTGTAGCTTGCTGTATAAGTATGATACTATCAAATCCTAACAACTAGACAATTACTAAGATAATGTATACGCCTACCCTAAGTATTCTTTGTAGAATGCATGATTGGCTTGGAACTGGCGCTTCATTCGAGCCAAAATGACTATCTATCTTGTCTTCGCGAGGCTTTTCCACCATAGGCCGGCTCGAAGTATATTTGGAAGAGCGCCTCGTTCCTAGCTCCGAGAAAACCGAGTGGCAGAGTGATTGAAGTGACACAGCTCCATGCTTTCAGGTATTGTGCTACCGTATGCTTTGTTCCCGGTGCCGCGATGCATGCGCCGAGGAGACTGAAGCTTCTTAAAGGCGAAGCCCGTTCGCCCATCCCCACGAGGTGTATACGGGGCTCTTCGCGTTTTGCTTGAGGAAACCTGTCCACTCTTCTCCGGTGCAGACCAGAGGCTCCATGTGTCTCCAAGAGCGAGTATTACTGTTCAGAAATCTTCGGACACAACCTATCGCGTATCCCTGTTTTCGCGTTGTCGACTTTGAGACACTACGCAATGCCACCGGGGCCTGTCTTGGGTGCCATCTTCAATCGCACAAGCACAGCATATTACGGGTCCGATTTGAGACTTTCAAGCTGCGGCCGGTTGTTTCTTCTTCTTTTTATACAAGACGGCTTTATGTCTCTTCTCCTCGAACCCAGCAGACTCCCCTCGGTGCCCTTCCATCCAACAATTCTGGCAATATAAATCACCGTCACAGCCCAGGCATTTCAGTGTCGCATCGTCTTGACAAATGATACACCATGTGTCAATCTCGTCATCGACCTGTTTTTGTAGATTGGTAGATACCGGCGGCTTGTTCCTGGGTGCGAACGATGGGGCGGAAGGAAGCCCGAGGGAATCTGTCTGCGATGGCGAAGGAGCGGCTAGAGCGGCTAAGCGTGCGGTGAATGCATCTTCGATGGCTTGACTGCTCGCGAAGTCGTCTTCGGGGAGGGTATTCGGTGCGGAAGGCAGTGTGAAGCCGCTGTCTGTGGTATCTGCCGTTGATGCATTCTTCTGGTCTCCTGATTCTGACTTGTCATCTTCTGACGGAGGAGAAGGGGGATCGTATTTCTTGCTAATTTCCAGTTCTGCCATGACTCTCGCAATCACATCGTCTGCCTCGTCGTCCTCGGTTCTCTTCTTGCCATCTTCGTCTTCCTCATCTCCACTCTCTGTGTCTTCCCTGGCTCTACCAACCTCCCCACTTCCAACGTTGATTTCAACGCTCTCCCAGTCCGTCAACTCCTCCTTCGATGGCTGCTCAGATTTTGAACGCCCACTCTGCGGCCCTTGTGCCCTAGTATTCACCACTTCCGGGAGCATCTTGCGCATGTCTCTCAATAGCTTTCCAACATCTTGTTGTTCTTTCTTGGATACGTCCCATTCCTTCCGATCACCGACGGCGCCGTTTAGCTCACCAAGTAAATCTTCTAGGCTCTTTTCATCTTCCTCGTTAAACTCTACATTCGAGCCTCCTACGCCTTGGGCTATCCCTTCCAGGTAGCTCGGTGCCCCTGGTGCTGCGACCGGTGCGCCGGCATTGTTCGTGGACGTTGTTCGCGACGGCTGTGGCGAGCCCGAGGGAGACGCGCTACCAAGACGTGCGAAGCGAGCGGCGAGGTCATCGGTGGGTTTGGGAGGATTCGTGGGTGCTATCGAAGCGCTACAGTTGGTATCTAGGCTGACGGAGGATGTCTTGAGCGCATTGAGGCGGGCAAGGAGGTCGTCGTCTGTTGAGCTAGGTTCGGGCATCTCTGGATGATGGGCGATCACTACGGTGATGTGTGGATAAGGACTGTGGATGTCTAAGTTATAGCGCCTACTGGACGCGGCTTATGACGCGGTGTTGCATGGAGCTCGAGGCTCGGGAGTGAGCGGAGTTGGCGCGACAGCTGTGGTGGAGCGCGGTGGGGGAGGGGCGAGCTATCCCTGACCGCGCTTCCTCCTCAACCAGACAACACGTGCGATCCAACAGCTGCATTATTAGATTACGAAGAAATACAGGCACATCTAGATGTATACTGCTTATTTCTTGCCGTCGGGTCGGCGCTACTGGAGATGCCTGCCTGCGGCCCGTGTTCTCGCATGCGTGACATCCGGCCCCGCTTTCGTCATATCCATAGCTCCGATGGCATCCTCATATGTCAGCATTCGTGTTCTGGTACCATATCCATCTACTCCGAAGCTGCCGATTGTCACGCCATCTGTTCGTCTCCATCAAATATATAGCACAGCTCTGTATCAATTGAGCATCCACCTCTTCACCGGACCCCCAGCACAACCTTAGATCAACAATCGCCATGGCTCTCGCACCCAAATTCGCTGGCCAAAAGCTGGCCTCCAGTGCTATTCAGCCCAAGACCGTCCACACACTCGAGCTCTGTAAGTGTTTCATCCTCGACTGCTGGATTACAACTTCCCGACCCATCCCAAGTCCTCCATCGGACTAACAGTCAAATTCCAGACCTCGACTATGTGTGCCCCTTCTCGGCCAAGATGTTCAAAACAATCTACGAGACCCCTCTCCGCAAGACACTTCTCGAGAAATACTCCGACCGCGTCGTAACCATCTTCCGGCAACAAATCCAACCCTGGCACCCGTCCTCCACCCTCGTCCATGAAGCCGCCTACGCCGTACAAAAGGTCGACAGTTCCAAATTCTGGGACTTCTCACAAAAGCTGTTTGCAGAGCAGAAAGACTTCTTCGACGTAAGTCTGGTTAACGAGACGAGGAACGCGACGTACAAGCGACTGGCCAAGATCGCCGGGTCTGTGGGTGTTGATGAAGGCAAGGTTTATGGACTGTTGGAGATAAGTGACAAGCCTGGCGAGGATGGGGCACTGAACTCAGGAAACGGGGTTACGGATGATGTTAAGGTGCAGGTGAAGGCGAATCGACTGACGGGTGTGCATGTTACGCCTACAATTGTGTTCGATGGGGTTGTGAACAATGAGATCAGCAGTTCGTGGACGGCGGAGCAGTGGGAAGAGTGGCTGGAGAAGAATGTCAAGTGACTGCATGACAGTGAAGAGGTTGCGAAAGGAAGATTGTGAGTGACCGTAGACTTCATATTGTAGTTTGCTGCATACACGCGGCTACACTTCATGAGGAAGTTACACTTGGACTGCTTAACAACCTGCTCATAGTCTGAAGCATACCCTATGAAGCTGTAACTCTATGTAATTGGCATGCAGTATCATGGATAGAGCCACTCCAGTGTGTTGCGCCCGCAGTTTCTACACCAGCATGTTCATCATATAAGCACTGGACGCCATACAGAACCCCAATGAGTGGAACATGCTGGAAGATCAGACACTTACATACACTGGCGATGGATCAATCGTCACCTTACATCTTATTCGATACCTGGGCATACACTCAACTCTTTGTTGCACCACAGACCTTGAAGTAGTCGTCGAAGCTTGTTGAGACATGGGGATTGGTATGCCAACTTGCTCACCCCGATGCCTAACCAGGCAACGAGAATAGCTTTGACAAGGGCCATATAATGCCGCTCTTGCGTTCGATGTACTTGCGCGAGGACGTGGG